AATTTTCAACGGAAAATTATTCCGTTGTAGTTTTCAACGGAAAAAGACCAAAATTCTGTTGGAATTTTCAACGAAAAATTATTCCGTTGTAATTTTCGACGGAAAAAGACCAAAATTCCGTTGAAAGTATCAACGGACCAAAATTCCGTTGTAATTTTCAACAGAAAAAGACCAAAATTCCGTTTGAATTTTCAACGGAATATTATTCCGTTGTAATTTTCGACGGAAAAAGACCAAAATTCCGTTGAAAGTATCAACGGACCAAAATTCTGTTGGAATTTTCAACGGAAAAGTATTCCGTTGTAATTTTCAACGGAAAAGACCAAAATTCCGTTTGAATTTTCAACGGAAAATTATTCCGTTGGAATTTTCGACGGAAAAAGACCAAAATTCCGTTGAAAGTATCAACGGACCAAAATTCCGTTGGAGTTTTCCGAAAAAACCTGCTATGGAGGAAGATCGAGTCTTTATGTCACGTTACAGAGGACCTCGTTTCAAAAAAATACGTCGTCTGGGGGCTCTACCATAACAGATTTGATAAATATGTATAACTCTCGGATAGAGTATTAGAAAGGAAAAAACCATTAGATAATGAACTATTGTTCTAAGCCATCTCCAGCGATGGATCAACAATTCGAAATGCTTAAAGCGAAAACCACTTTTTTTATTTTTATTTGGTGTAACTAAGCCGGATGAAGGTAGACGTGCTATAGGAGTAACCCATTACCTTCTGGGTGGAATTGCCACAACATGGGCATTCTTCTTAGCAAGAAATTATTCTATTGTAATTTTCATCGAAAAAAGACCAAAATTTTGACACTAATAAGTCATTATCTCTCACGAGTCATTTAGGAATACACTTTGCACCAACATTTTTATGTATTTTCAAATCCATTTTCACGTGAGTACATCGGAGCATCATTTTTGTATGCTTATAACTTCATCCATTACTTCAACACTTCATCCATAACTTCATGACTACTTGCATTCTCATACGAATGTTTCAATATGTATGTGCAACACCATAAACAATTATAAATGATAGCATTCTTGCATAAAAGAAATTTATGGTTTTTTTTAATGTTTGTGATTACTTGAAAATTATCAACGGAAAAAAATTCCGTTGGAATTTTCGACGGAAAAAGACCAAAATTCCGTTGAAAGTTTCAACGGACCGAAATTCCGTTTCTATTTTTGACGGAAATATTCCGTTGAAAGTTCCGACAGAAAAAATCCGTTGCATTTTTCGACGGAAAAAAATTCCGTTTGAATTTTCAACGGAAAATTATGCCGTTACAAATTTCAATGGAAAAACTCCGTTGAAATTTTCAACGGAATAAATATTCCGTTGTAATTATCAACGGAATTTATTGTCCGTCGATAATTTTCGATTACAAAAATTATATGACAAATTTTTGACAAAAAATTTCAACGGAATTTATTTTCCGTCAAAATTTTTGACGGAATTTATTTTCCGTTGAAAATTTCCGTCTCAAAATTCAACGGAAATTCTTTCCGTCTCTATTTCAAACGAAACTATATTTCCGTCAAAAATTCCGTAACTATCTTTGACAGAATATTTTCCGTTGATAAATTCCGTCGATAATAGAGCTTTTTTTAGTAGTGGATGTTTATGCTTGGATGCTGGATATGCCGGTTGCTATTCAGTTATTAGCTTTATGATTATGTTGTTTCTATTGAGACTATGTTGGGCTTGTTGCCTTATTTGGTGAGCATGGGGATTGTCCATGCTACATTGACTCGACTTTATGTTTAGGTTGCTTCAGTTGTAATTAATAATGTATCAGGATATTGTCCGGACTACGTGTTGTAGTTCTGTGACTTAGATACTCAAATCTATGTTATGAGGTATTTCAGTTACTTGTTGGATTGCAATCACATACATGCGATATTTTGTAATTGGTGTTTAATAATTAACTTGGCTAAGTATAATGACGTCATACTTGAAAGTAAAAAGTTATTCTGCATTTTTAAATTAAGCGTGACTTAATACAATGACATGTTAATAAACCGGGTTAACACGGGGTGTTACAGAGAGGCATGACCTCACAAGACAAGAAGCCCATATAGAGCATGAGGCTCATATTCTGGAGGATGGATGTTATTTATTGTGCATGACCATATATGGCATGTAATCTTTTGTATAGGCTTCCACAATCATGAAAGTTAAACTTGTGATTTTGATGTGCATTTGATTCCATATAATTGGAAAGATATATTTTTCTAATCCTTATGTTATGGGAATTGCATTTGACAATTGTGGTATTGTACATTTTGATATGTAAATCAATACTTAAATGCCATGATTATGTATGTTCTGTACGAATGAACGAGGTATTTGATGGAAATATGTTGATTGTAGGAAATTGAATAAATATATGATTAGTTGATGAAATCATTGACATTGAGCTTTTGATATATGATCTATTGATGAATTTGGTGATTAAAGCATTTAAATGGCTCAAATACAGTCGAGATGTTGTACGTGCAATTCTAACTGAGATGATATATGATATTATACCAGGGTAGTTACTTTCCATTAGTTATAATTTGTAGAGTTTTCAAGTGTAAAATGAGTTGAGGTATAACAAAGCTTGATGTAGTTTGAGTGAACATGGAATAAATAGTATGCATGACAATATATAAGGAAGAAATAATAAAAGAAAATTTTAGTTCACATAATTATATAGGTGTAAATGTGACTTTTATATTTTAGCTTTCGTTTATTTAATCAATTATGATGTGCTTAATATCATACGTGATGTTGATACACCAGCTGCAGACGGAGTGTTACAACTGCAGTCATGCAAGGCAACAAAAGAAAAGCCTAGTCGAGAATATGTTTAAAACAACATATTAATGTTTCATGTGGTTTCACCCACAATTGATAATACCCCCATCGTTCTCTTTGGGGACAATGTGACTTGCATTGCATAGATGAATGATGGATATGTTAAGAGTGACAAGACTTCTTATCCATCAAGTTTTCTCTAATGACAATCTAATAGATTTATTCACTAAATCCCTCTCCTATTTCCAAATTTGAGAAATTGGTTTGTGGAATAGGTATGCATAAACTTAATAGATTACTTTCATCATGAGGAGCAAATTAGTTATGACCATCCCTGAAGGTTTATTACTATTTTTTCTTCGCTAGTTTTTCTTCATTGGGTTTTCCAGCAAGGTTTTAACTAGGCATGAACTTAGGGCAGTGATGCCCAATGGGAAGTATTGTAAATGGATGTTACTAATCCAATTGAATGAACATTCCTATAATTTATTATGGAAGAAGATTATGAGATAGCCATTATGATTGGTTCACTTTCTTAGCGTAGTGATGCTCCATTTGTTTAGTTATCTCATTGAATTTTTCTTGCAAAGATTTTTAATAAGACAGTCTATATTAACATATACAAGTTGGTATGTTAACTATTAATATTGTACTCTTTTTTCTTCACTAACGTTTTTATCCCATTTGATTTTTCTTAGCTACGTTTTAATGAGGCGTATCCACAGTGTATATTCATCCAATTAAGGGAGAGTGTTGTAAAATATTAAGTTATGGATGACTTGAATTTTAAATTTTATAACCATTGCACTAATAATACAATTATCCTCCATTTATAATTTCGTACCCGCCACACTGTTGAGGTATCAACTCTCCCATTCATATTGTAATCCTATATATACATAATTTATTGGAAAATTATCGAAGAATGAGGATCATAATTCTTCCATACTCCTCTTTGTTTTCTCTCATTTTTTCTTTTTTTTTTGGAGTTACCCAACCCTAATTATCTCTTTGAGACGAGTTGGCTCCCTCCGGTATCCCCACGAACTTCGACTCTTTGAGCCGGCTATGGGACTAATCCGGAGTACGGGTTAGCCTATTGTGCCTATAGTCTTTCATCTCTACCCCTTCATTTCCCTATTTCTTTATTTTTTATTTTTTATCTAATTATAAGTTAGCCTATTGTGCCTATAGTCTCTTTTAAGAGCTTAACACTTTTTATGGAAACAAACTTATCTATATTGCATTAAAATAATGAACCACATCAATAAAGTAATATGAATTGTCGTGAATAACGAAAGGATGCAGGCGCGGCATTTGAGAGTTATTAGGATGTTGGCGTGTTTCAAGCCATACATGCATGTGCAACAAAGTCAACAAATCATCATCAAAATTCATCATATATATTCTTTTAAGTTGTATGTTTATCACAATTTTCAAAAACCAAATATCGTGTTTTTCCAGCTTAGATGCCTCACAAGTTACAATTCACGTAGATCTAATTGATTTAAAAGTTATTAGAATTAGTTTATAAAGGATTAATGTTTAAAAGGAAATATTTGTTTGGAAATCTTAGAAGAATTAATTTTATTTAAGTGGTAAAGTATAATTAACTTTAAATTTCAAATATAAATATATCTTTAAAAAAGTAAATATGCATTCAATATTTATGACCAATTTTATTTATTAAAAAAGTTAAGAATTTATTTGTCTACCAAAAAAAAAAGTTAAGAATTTTTTTTTTTGAATTAATTTTATTCATCGTGAAATTAATTTTAAAAACCTAAAAAAGTAATCAAACACTAGAGATTACTATACAACCTAATTTTGTTCCCTGCAAACTGGATTCTATATTGCAATCTGTGTGGCAAAAAGCAAGACCAGCGCTTGAATGAACACTTCAGTGAAGAATAATAGTACACTTATGGATTGTTTAACAGTCAACACTTGTTTTGTTGTCTTGAGAGTGAGTGAGATTCGGTGCTCCGCAGGTGGCACCTTACTATCTATTTAAATTTAGAAATTAATAAATAAGTATCATTGACCGAGAGTGAGAGATGTAGGTAGGTAGGTACCCATAACCCATATATGTTTTCTGTTGATCCATCCTAGTTAATCAGATTAGACTATAAAAGCATATATCCAAACTATGGGTTAAATCGGCATAAACAAATTGTAACAGCTAGTGAAAATGGCTTCTTTGTTGTGCTATTCTCTCTTTTCTCTTGCCTTCATTATCACCTTTCAGCTATTGATACAAAGAAGAAGATTCAAAAACCTTCCACCATTTCCACCAACTCTTCCCATAATCGGCAATCTTCATCACATCAAGCCCCCACTTCACCGTTCCCTTCACAAACTATCACAAAAATGTGGTCATATCTTCTCACTATGGTTTGGTTCACGCATTGTGGTTGTTATCTCCTCCCCAAACTTAGTTCAAGAGTGCTTCACCAAATACGACACCGTTCTCGCAAACCGGCCACATTTCCTCACTGGAAAGTACCTCCTCTACAACAACACCACCTTGGGTGCCTCCTCCTACGGTGACCACTGGCGCAACCTCCGTCGTATCACCGCCACCGATGTCCTCTCAACGCCACGTCTGAACTCATTCTTTGAAATCCGAAGGGTAGAAACCATGAGGGTCATGCAAAAGTTGGCTCAAGACACATGCAAGGGGTTCGCAAAAGTGCAACTTAGACACAGGCTCACGGAGTTGACTTTCAACAACATGATGAGGATGATCTCTGGGAAGAGGTACTATGGCGAGGACATTGACGTGACGGATGCTAAGGAAGCGAAGCAGTTCAGAGAGATCATCTCAGAGATGCTGTCATTGTTGGGTGCAAACAATAAAGGGGATTTCTTGCCATTTCTTCGGTGGTTTGATTTTGATGGTTTGGAGAAGAGGTTGAAGTTGATTAGTAAGAGAGCCGATGCATTCTTGGAAGGACTCCTTCAAGAGCATCGTAGTGGGAAGCACGATGCCAATACCATGATAGAACATCTCTTGACCCTCCAAATATCGCAGCCAGAGTATTACTCGGATTATATCATCAAAGGGCTTATTCAGGTAACAAGTTATTAGTTATCATTAATTTTGCTATTTATTTTGTTATTATTTTTCATAGAAATAGATCACCCAAACCGGAGTTCTGACTAATGCATAGACTAAACTTAACTCCATCATCAATTAGTACTTGCAAGCACAAATTAAACGTAACCTAATTATCGCCATAATATACATTTAGATTATAAGAATATTCTCTTACCTATGGTCATCTCAAAGACTTCCAATCATATTCATATATATAATGATGATGATGATGATTATGATACCACCTGAAATATAATGGACCAGCGCAAAAGGATACTTGTAATTATAAGGCTTACACATTTCTTCCTTGATAATATCCACTTTCATAATCTTACGAGTTCAGTTTCTCTTTTACATTATCTTTTTATTAAATAATGATCATGACCTTTAGAAGAAAAGAGAAAATATTGTCGAATTAAGTGATTTACAACCCAAAATAGATGAGGATATCACAAGATCCTTTCTCACGTGAGTTTAGTAATGTGAAAAGAGAGATAAAGCGTATTTTCAAAAATAAAAATAAAAATAAAAATAAATTCTAAACAACATCTTTGAGTTGATAGATCGTTTCTTTGTCATTATCACTCTAGGCAGTCATGGAAAATATAACACAATCAAATCAGAAGTTAATGATAATAAATATTATTAAACATAAACACACGAGTTCATATTGAAGTACTAAATATTATGGAAAATAACTTTAAATACAATTGTAGACCCATAAGCCGATTTCTTTTACCAATATAATATATATCTTTAAATCATTTTTACTCATTGATTCAAGAAAATGCAACATATAATTAGTTATGGCTGAAAAAAGTTATTGAGCAAGACTCATGTTTATCAAAGTGATAATGTTATTTAAATTGAGTTGTAGGGTATGCTACTCGCTGGAACAGACACAACAGCTGTGACTATAGAGTGGGCAATATCTGCTTTGTTGAATCACCCTGAGATATTGAAGAAAGCAAAGGATGAATTGGACAGTTACATAGGGCAAGATCGCTTGGTAGATGAGTCAGATATTCCAAATCTCCCTTACCTTAAAAATATTATCTACGAGACACTTCGATTGTACCCTCCAGGTCCGTTACTATTGCCTCATTTTTCTTCAGATGAGTGCAATATTGGAGGATTTACTATTCCTCGTGAAACTATAGTGTTGATCAATGCATGGACCATTCACAGAGATCCTGAAATTTGGAGTGATGCTACATGTTTTAAGCCAGAGAGATTTGAAAAAGAAGGGGAAGCAAACAAGTTAATTGCATTCGGCTTGGGAAGAAGGGCTTGTCCTGGTTTAGGTTTGGCAAATCGTACGATGGGCTTGACTTTGGGGCTATTGATTCAGTGCTTTGAATGGAAACGACCAACTGATGAAGAAATTGATATGAGGGAGACAAAAGGGGTCGCCATGCCAATGCTAATTCCATTAGAAGCTATGTGTAAACCACGACCAATCAGTAAGAAATTTATGTAGTAATTAATAATCTTGTCCTGAAGTTGCATGAGAATCTACTTTACATGATGTGTATTTTTCATATCTATTAGGTAAAAGTTGTTTGGTTAAGTATTGTGATAGTTTGTTTAAATAAAATATTGATACTGCGTGTTTGATAGGATTTATTGTTTAAGACAAATAGTTTGTTTTTTATCTTTTCCTTCTATGATATTATCTTCATTGTAAGTTTGTAACCTCATGTATTTGCACGTCTATATAAAAGATATCTTTTGTGTTGTTTAATAAACCAGTTGAGTTTTACACCAAATTTATTAAATGTTTGGTTTCAAGTACCTCTAGTAATTATCTAGGAAAGACATCCCAATACGAAAGTATATGTGGTAAATAAGCAACAAAACGGAGAATAAAGGTGTGAATCCCACATGAAAATGTGACGCTGTGTTTAATTATATTTAATGTAATTTCCAAATTGAGAAAAATGAATTGATGGTTATGGTTTGAGCTAAAACTATTAGAAAACAGTACGTAAAAACAAAAGGAACAGATCAGAAGAAGTTGAGGATAAAATAAGAAGAAAAATGAGGTTGGGGGCAGGTTTTCCCTCTTTTTAGTGAATTCGCATGTGACTGGTAATAGCAAATGTTGTAACAATGTAAATGAGCTAAACCGAACACGTAAGTTTGCAAAGTTTTTCAATAATCATGCAAGTTTTGATTTCAATTCACATTGAAATATAAACCTATGCCTAGTAGTATAATATAATTCGTTGCAGTTCAGTTCTATAGGTTTATTAGGTTATGTGGGACGAATCCAATCCTGCAATCCGTCTCAATGTAGATTAATTCCTTTACCACTTACGCACATTATTTTATACAGGTCTAATTCATATTTCTTTACGGTAAATCTCAAACATATTAATCAAGTGGCTTCAATAAATACAAGATGGAGTGAATTGAATTATAAAAATGAATTGTCGTGGATTAACAGCTAGTTTTGTATCCTTTAAGAAGTGTAGTATGTTAATATGAATGTACTCAATGAAGCGGTGATATATAGACAAAAGCTGTAACACCCCGGTTTGTAACACTCGTGTATACCCGGTTTGTTAACATGTCATTGTATTAAGCCATGCTTAATTAAAAATGCAGAATAATTTTTTACTTTCCATTATGACGTCATTATCATTAACCAAGTTGATTATTAAATCCTTTTACAAAATATTGTTTGCATGTAATTGCAAATAGATAACTAACTGAAATACCTCAATACATAAATAAGTGAGTATCTAAGTCAAGGAACTACAACACGTAGACCGGACATAATCCTGATACAATTATACAACTCGAATCTAAAAGCATAAAGTCAAGTCAATGTGGCATGGACAACCCCCATGCTCACAAAATAAGGCAACAAGGCCCAACAAGTCTCAAATCCAAAATCACGATAATAAATACAAGACAGGTCAGCATTCAAGCATATCACCATAAAAGCAGAAATATCAGCTAAGCTCCGGCCTCCTGCCGCTAAAGGTCTGAACCCCCGCATTAATTGAACCTGAAAATGGTGCCCCAAACGTGGGATGAGATCTTTAAACAGAAATCTCAGTAAGACAAGGGGTCCTCAAGGATTTCTCCACTCCAAGCTCACTTACATGTGCAATATAAGTTCTAAAAATAGTTTAACAATATAAGTTCCAAAATCAGTGCAATGCAGCAGATAATCATGTCATGTGTGTCAACTATTCTACTTGGTTAATGATAATGGATTACATGCCACATTGACTTGACTTTATGCTTTTAGATTCGAGTTGTATAATTGTATCAAGATTATGTCTGGTCTACGTGTTGTAGTTTCGTGACTTAGATACTCACTTATTTATGTATTGAGGTACTTCAAATAGTTGTCTATTTACAATTACATGCAGGCAATATTTTGTAAAAAGATTTAATAATCAACTTGGTTAATGATAATGACGTCATAATGGAAAGTAAAAAGTTATCTCGTATTTTTAATCAAGCGTGGCTTAATACGATGACATGTTAACAAACCGGGTATACACGAGGTGTTACATCGTTCTAGACCGGTTTATTAACATAAAAATGGTTTAAGGACAACATATTTAATTACAAAATTTGTGGAAGCTATACTCATTGATTCACAATTAATATTATGAAAAGGTGAATAAACATTTTATTTTTCCTTATGCCTTACCATTTACATAATTAATCTAGTAATTATCTAGTAACATACCTTTTGTCATTAATCGATTTAAGTTGTCCAGTTAGTATGTGGCTTGAACACATCCTAAAACATCATTCTTATACTTACCTCTTTGATAAAAACTCAATAATGACAAACTTGAGCAATGATGGATTCCAATCGGTGAGAATCGCTCATAATGTCGTGGGGATAAACTCTACAACATGAACATTACACAAACAACCATCATCAACCTCCATAAATCATGATTTCGCACAATTATTAACCAAAAATCTAAGATTCTTGAAACTTCATGAAAACTAGTTTTGAGTGGAGGAAACTTACCATAGATCATCTTAGAATGCGAGGAAGAGTAAATCCCAAGCTCCATTGCACTCAAAACCACCCAAAACACCAAAAATCTCCAAACTTTCAAAATGGTCGAGGTGGAATATCTCTCTCCACAATGACCCCCAACCGAAAATGAGCTATGAGTTTTGAAAAGTGTGAGATTCTAAACGCTTTTGCCTCTAGAAGCAATGGATTTCATGGACTATAGGTGAGTCTAGGTTTTTCACAAGCTTCCTTTCCTTCTCTAATGGTGCTCCATGGTTGGCAAGGGAAATGGCAAGGGAAAAATAAGGGAGATGATGATGTGTTGTGTTCTAATTTTTTTCTCTTAAGTCACTTAATTGACTGGGTGAGTAGTCCATACATGGTAACTTTCTATTTTACATTCTTTTCTTGCTTGTTTCTAGCCAAATAACTTAGGATTTATAAATATGTGTTCTGACATCATAAATATAACACCTCACATATTTAATTGTGATATTAAACGATAAATTGAGGATTAGAGGGTTTAATTAGTGAAAATCCTGAGGTTTGGGGTCAAATTACCCATCAGGGGCAAAATGGTAAATTGCCAACTGTGTAACCCTTTACTGTGAAATGATAAATCAAAGTTTAATTTGAAGAAAATAATACTAAAAATGGATTCAGTACAAAATTTGGAGTTTGTAGGTATATTTTGAGAAATTTTGATGAATAGTGATTTTTATCGGATAAAATACTGCAGTGTAATTTTATCGGTAAACTTGAAAAAATGAAATTATCCTAAAGGAAATAAAAATATGTGGAGTTTGGATGAAAATTATGGATTGTGAAATTAGTGAATTAAAATGGATGTTTTAAGTAAGTTAAGTGACAAGTGGGACCCACTCCTACTTAAGTGAGTGGATTAAGCACATGTGACAGAGGATTATTTCACAAAATCTGCACACACTCTCTCTCCTCTTTCTCTCCTTCATCATGGAGCTCTTCCATGGGAGCATAGGGCAAGCTTTTCATTGCTTGATTTCACCCACTTTCACTCCTCAAATCACAAAACCTTAAACATCAAAACCACTCCAAATCATCTAGTGAACAACTTTCTAGTTGTAGTTTTCCCTTGAAATTGATTAAGTGAAGAGATACTTTTGTGTGGGGGAGGAAGATTTTGGGCATTAGGACAACCATTGGTGGTGCTTTGGCTTGGTTGAACACTTGATTAACAACCCTTGGAGCCTTAGGAAGCTATTGGTGGTAAGTATTACAACTTTCTTTGAGTTTTTATGGAGATTGAAAAATGGGTTTATGTTTGGTGATATGTTGATGAGTTGTGGTACTTGGGAGCATTAAATGGTCTGTCTCCTTTGAAATTAAATGCTTAGAATGGTGAATAATGATGAGTGGACCAATAAAATTTATAGTGATATGTAAATTTTAACTTAGTGAAATTTATGGTTGGAAAGTGTTGAAAATTATGGTTGAAGTCATAAATATGGTTGTTGGACTTATGTGTTAATTGTTGGAGTAATCAATTATGGAAGAAAATGGAAGGTTAAAACATGATATAACCATTGAAAAACCCCTAAGAACCATTGTCTTTACTTATTGATTATATAAGCACATTTGAGAGAAATTGTGGTAAGGTGCCCATTGAGTATGTGGAATGGTTTGATAGTGTTGGATTAAGTGGTGAGGTTTGTAGTGGGTTGTCGAATCATTGTGACTTGTGATCAAGTTATTGATGATCATTGTGACTTGTGATCAAGTTGTTGATGATCATTGTTGTATGATCGTTGTAGGTTACCTCTCCAGGATTCGATAGAGGTGGATTGAGCTTGGAGCTAACGTTGGAGAGCATTGCTTGAGGAGTTATTAGAGGTAAACTCTTGGAACTAGGGTTAATCCCCTTGTGTGTTCCACCATGCCCAAGTTGGGGGTGATGGTTAGATGTGTGCTCTTTGGTATTGTGTGTAATACTATGTTCATGCATTATTGACATGTTGATTGACATGCGTGTGGCGTGTTGTGTGATATTGTAATTGTGATCTCTGACCAGTAGATATGTTGGGTTGGACTTCCGCTGGTTTAGGCTCCTTTGGGGAGTTCCGGTCGGGTTTTATCATAGAGTCGTCTCTGGAAGCGGCACTAGGCAGCTCTAAACGTGGGACTTCCGCTGGATAGGTCTCCTTGGGAGTTTCAGTTGGGTTTGCCATGGAGTTTCTCAACCATGTGAAAGGTGCCTGGAAGCATGTAAGAACCTGCACCGTTAATTTAAGAAATTAATTAATTAATTATGTGCTTAATGAGATAATTTCATAATTGACCCTAATAATTATGATAAGGCTTAAATAATTATGGTAAGTGGTTAAGAATGTTGAAAGTCGTTTTTCTGACGAAAAGTGCAGATACCGACTCTGCTCCACGGTATAAAAGCGTACCGATGAAGTATCCCGAAAAATTACAAAAAGTTTGTATATTTCACTAGAATAATATATAGGACTAGCAAAAC